GTCAACAATCACGTTTGGATCTACATCAATTAGCCAATCACCCGAATTTTATAACCCGTGATTTTCCGTAAAAATACTCGATAAAAAAAATTTTTCGCGTTAGATAAAACTTTATACATAATGCATGATTTTATGAGTTATTGTCTTCGCCGGTACTTTAAAACGATCGGCTGGAATGATGATAACCAATACTCAAACTTATGTTCTGCTTCCCGAGGTGAGTTTTAGTACAGTGTTGACACTGGACATATGTCCAGTCTGCTGGACTACTTGGTCCCTTTCAGTTCTAGTTCGTCAGTTTTAAGTAACTGAACTGTTCAGTTCTATTCAATTTAGTCGGTGCAATCCGGCTTAATTCAGTCCAATTATAGTCCAGTAATAAGTATATACAATTTGTAGCTATAAAAAATTTTTTTTCGGTCAAGTGACAACACTGTAAACTTTAGTACTATACTGAATGTACCGGTTAATAAAAAAATGTCCTATTTTTTTTTAACGTTAATCCAGCTATCTTGGATTTTCAAACCCCACGTGGGTTCACCTTCGAAATATCTAAAATTCAGACACCCATGTTCAATTCTTCATATTCGATGAATGCTTCTCCAACACTTAACGGATCGATAAGTTATCTTTTTACTTCCCGTCCATTGGTGATCGAACCGAGTTCTCGATTGAACTTTGTAGAAATGATTGATAGATTTCATCTTGATCCTCTTGCACGGGCTAACCGAGCGGATAATATGAAAGGCAATATCAATAATGAAGAAATCAAGCCAGTAAACGGTAACTTATAAATATTTTAAATGGTGATAAGCTAGTATCTTATGTTATTTTTATTTTATCACTATTTTTTTTTTTTCAGATTACTTGCTTTATGGTCGCTTATATATTCCAACTGGCCGACTTGAAGCTATATATTCAAGAAGGCTTTCTCCATGGATGCAATGTGTTATTACAGGTGTTAGTGAACCTAGAATGAAAGCAGCCTCACATGTGATTATTATTTTGAGTGCCTTCTTTTAGCATGTTTGTTTGCATTAAATTATATTCCAACTTCAGTGTACAGGTGAGCTCCAATATGACGCTGGTAAATGGTGTACCGAAGTTTCTTACACAACAGATGGCGAACTGTTTGGTTTAAGGGGACTTTATAATTTATCAAGTCATGGATCAGAAGGAAATATAGAACATGGGGAGGTGTTTGCAAATAAAAAAGAAGTTACGACAAATGGTATTAAAGCATCGGTTGTTGAAAGGAATGCATTTGATGAACCATCGAATTCCGATGATGATGATGTAGTAGAAGCATTAAAAGGCGAATGGTCAATTGGTGCCGAATTATACTATGGAATCCGAGAAAAAAGTGGGGGAGGTTTGTACATTAAATAATCATTTTATTCATTTACTTTCTGCGCGTTAAAATAATTTTATGAAACCTATATTTTAAGTATCAGCCGGGATTCGTTATCGGACTCTTCCACAATTCTCAGCACAATCACCACTTACAGTAACCTATCTATTTAATCCTATTATGGGACACATGTCTGCTGCCTTTGCTGCTCAGGTATCTGAAGATTTGGCTTTGTGCCCACGATATGAATTCAATATATATAGTTACGAAAGTGATCTAACGATCGGAGCTGAATGGTGGCAAAGAGAGAGTATCGATGATGTAAATGCTGTGTCAAATGAAAGCCCTGAACTCAAAGGAGATGTTCAAGGTGTAATCAAAGCCTCAATCAGTACTGGAAAGGTGATTTTCCCAAACTCACCCAATTACAATTTTTTCATTGTAGTAATAATGTTGTATTCCATGAATGTATATAATTTAGGGAATTACGCTTTTGTGGGAAGGACGATACAGAAAAACTTTATTTGGCTTAGGTCTAGTGACGAACTTAAAATCGGGATTCTCACCAATACAGTCAATTGGTTTTCAATTTCAATATTTCTCGTGATTCATTCACTTTTTTCTAGAAGTAATTGTAAGTACTATCTGCAATTACCGTATGCCACTGCTTATAGTACCCGGGTCTTATTCAAGAAACTGGTTGGTAGTCTTAATCATGGGTATTATTTTTTGGGGATAATGTAAGCAGTGGCATACGGTACTTCCACATAAAAAAGTGAATGAGTCGCATGAAATATTGGGGTGCAAACCAGCTGGCTGTATTGGTGAGAAAAACTTTGATGTTATTAATAATTATTCAATAACAATAATTCCTGACATTTGCGCGTAGAAGTTATTCACATCGTAATTTAAGGATCATAATATAGAGTAATATAATGTAATTGATGATTATAATTAAAAGTAACAATAATACTATAAGAATAAGAGAATCTATATATTCAGGGTCTTGTTTTTGAGCAATCATAAAATTAATATGCTTGTAAGTCAGTATAGCCAAATATAATTTTTTTATTAGAGTAAGTATTCAAAAAAAATTTTTTATTTGAATTATATAGATTCATAGAATTCATACAAAACTTTTATCGAATTTGGTCGAGTGGTTGTCAAAACATCTTTGCTTAAAATTTGAGAAAAATTTGGCGCAGCTTTTATTTGACAAGTGTTTTAAACCTTTTAACAAATATATTTCGATAGCCACCTAATCAAATTCAATAAAACTTATTTATTTAAATTCCATGAATCCATAGAATTCAAATAAAAAAATTTTTATTAGTGGTGCAGATAACACACAGTACATGGTTAAGGTTGAGTTGGTTTGTATTGGAATTAACTGTCATGATGTTTTGCTGTAAAAAATATGGTACTATTGCAATAACATACAGTGGTTGTATTGGAATTAACTGTTGTGATTTTATCATGTTTTACTGTAAAAAATTATTGATTTTTTTTAAAATTTTGAGCAAAGATATTTTGACAACCATTTAACTAAATTCGATAAAATTTTTTTATTTGAATTCTATGAATCCGTAGAATTCAAATAAAAAATGGTTCATCGAATTTATTAGATGGTTGTCGAGATATCTTCACTCAAAAGTTTTAAAAAAATCAAAACACTTGTCAAAATAGAAGCTGCGCCAAATTTCTTAAACTTTGAGCGAAATATTTTGGCAACCACTCCACCAAATTCGATGAAAATTCTTTTGCCTGAATTCTATAAATTTATAGAGTTTAATAAGCAAAGAAATTTTACTGAATTTGGTCTAGTTGTCGATCAAAACGAACACAGATTATAATCACGTTACTGGTTTGAAATTTTTTTTTTTAATAATATTTAATGACAGTTGTTTGGAGCAGTAAAACCTAATCACTTTATAGAAAATTTGATAAAGTAATACAGCCAAACCTCTATATATGCACGCTCTATAAATGCACACCCTCTATACCGTTTTGTTTAGCACTGTATAAAGTATCCCCTCGAATAATATCCTACCACATAAAGTATCCCCTTCTCCACCAATGAAATTGC